TTAACCCTTTGTGTCCCAAGAAGTCAAACATTTTGAAACTTTGTGACAGAATCAGACAGAATTAAAACGCTATCAAAATACACTCAGTAAAGGCCTTTGGAATAAAATTTTAGCAAAATATGCAATCCCCCTATTTTCGCATAGTCTAAGTGTCAAAAAAGATGCTAATTCAAAAATTCCTGGAAACCGTGTTTATTGAAATTAAGAAATAAAACTTATTTTAAATTGAAGCTTGAAGCTTTCTGTTTAAATCGATGTATAACAATCGATGGGTTGAATAAAATTTTAGCAAAATATGCAATGCCCCCAAGGTTTATAGAACATAAGGTTACCTCATTCCCTATGCCTCTGTAATATCGATTATTACCCCGCAGATTGACGTCACTGGTTCGATACAGTCAAAATAAAAGATAGCCTATACGTGCCTATACTGTGGTACAGTCTATATAAAATATTTAAACCTCGCATCGTATTGTGTTGTTCATAGCACCAGCTACGTCACTGACCCACCTTGCCTCTCAGAGGAGGAGAATCGGTATTGGGTAACCTTATGTTCTATAGACCTTGGTTTCGCCGCACGTCTCTAAAGACTGCTAAACCAGAATGATTCTAGTTCTAGCGTTAGCTCTAGTTTTACACTAGCACTGTTACGATATAGAACTAACACTATACCTAGAACTAGAATCATCTCGATTTAGTCGCACGTCTCTAAAGACGACTAAACACGAATGATTCTAGTTCTAGTTCTAGGTACAGTATTAGTTACAGTTTTACACCTGCACTGTTACTAGAACTAACATTAGACCTAGAACTAGAATCATTTGGGTTTAGCCGCACGTCTCTAAAGATGGCTAAACCCGAATGATTCTAGTTCATGGTATAGTGGTAGTTCCACTTTTAGTTCAATAAAAATATACAACAATCTAACGCTAAATAATAATTGGACCCCGTTATACATCACTTGTTTAAGCGACATTTTAACGCTTTTAGAGATTTTCGTGCTGTCTGGTAGGTAAAGGTGTAACTTATCTTAGAAAAAATGCAGAATACCGAAAGACCTAAAATACTATTTGTTTTAAAGGATAAAGCTAAGCGCCCATCACGTTATTCGATTTTAAGCCCGATTTGCATCATACGTCTAAGAACCGACTTAGATCCGATTTTTATTGCACTAAAACTAGAACTAACACTAGACCTAGAACTAGAAAGTTCTGGGTTTAGCCGTGCGTCTTCAGACATGGTATATATTAGACGCGTGGCTAAACGAGAAACTTTCTAGTTCTAGGTCTAGTGTTAGTTCTAGTTTTACACTAGCACTATCATTAGAACTAACACAGGACCTAGAACTAGAATCATTCGAGTTTAATCGTCTTGAGAGACGTGGGACTAAATCCGAATGTTTCTAGTTCTCGGTCTAGTGTTAGTTCTAGTGGCAGTGGTAGGTAGCGCTAGTTAACATAAGATATTACTATGTTGTATATTTTTATTGAACTAAAACTAGAACGAGAACTAAAAACATTCNCGGTCTAGTGTTAGTTCTAGTGGCAGTGGTAGGTAGCGCTAGTTAACATAAGATATTACTATGTTGTATATTTTTATTGAACTAAAACTAGAACGAGAACTAGAAACATTCGGGTTTACTCGAGAAAAAAACTTTCAGTTGCCAAGCTCAACTTTAATTTTATTATTATATTCGTAATCTTTATAAAACAAGCTTTAAAATGAGTCCAAACTTGACGCATTTATCTCAAAAAATCAAAAAGTTCGAACTTTCAACTTTTAATTTTAACATATTTGTCAACTTCATAAAAAATCCTTTAAAATGAGTCCAAACTCGATATATTTACCCTTAATATTAACGGAAATAAAATCACTTCCGGTTTGAAACGTCAACGTCAATGTTGACATATATGTCATCTTCCTTAAAAAGCCTTTAAAATGAGTCCAAAGATGACGCATTTATTTCAAAAAACAAAAAAGTTAGAATAAGAAACATTAAACCCGAAGTTAGCAACAATGAAGATAGCAATTTAATTTTTAAATATTAATACCAACCTTAATTTTTAATTTTTTTTATTATATTTCCGTTTTTGTGACAAATTTTAACACATTTTATAAAAATTAAGAATATGTTAAAATGACATTGACATTTCAAACCGGAAGTTGCTTATATCTCAAGTAATATTGGAATTAAACGTATCATGTTTGGACTCATTTTAAAGGATTTTTCACGACGATTACAAATATGTCAAAATTGACGTTGACATTCTTAACCGGAAGTTGACCATAACTTCATTAATATTGAAGATAAATATGTCGTGTTTGTACTCATTTTAAAGAATTTTTAATGAAGATTACAAATATGTCAAAATTGAGGTTGACATTTTAAACCTGAAGTTAGTTATCATATAATAAAAGTTTTATAAGTGAAGTTAATCTAGTGTTAGTCACTTTTCCAAACTTTCTTTTTATTTTTAACGTGTTTTTTGGGTCATTTCACATTGATTAATCATCGATTCTGGAAATTTTCCCAAGTTTCTTAATATTTCTTTTCTTAAAAAAGAGCGTTCTTAAATTTTAACCTGTAAACTTGTAACGCTTCGTCCTTAATTTCATATTACAACGTTTTAAACTTTAATTTTGTAAATTAGTAACTAATAATCTGATTTCGACTTTGATATGTGATCTTTTTTAACAAAACAAAAAGAAATATTAAGAGACTTGTTTGTAAAATGGATAAGATGAGATGTTAATCTATTTGTAGAGTCTGTGAAGATGGCCAAGGGCCGAAACTGGTTAGATTTAAATTCTATATAAAATAAAAACCAGTTTAAAAGTACAAAATCAAACTCTAGATTATTTTCTTCAAAAATTTTTACACGAATCGTCATCATTTTGTCTCTAGTTTTAGTGATTAAATTTATGCCACGACTTACAGAAACACTTTGTATAATCGTAAAACATACCAAGCGGTCTGTGATAAAAATGGACAGGCACCAAACAATTTTTAATAGTTTGAGCCTGTCTAATCTGAGTTAGTTCTATATCTTAACAGTGCTAGTGTAAAACTAGAGCTAACGCTAGAATTAGAATCATTCTGGTTTAGCCGTCTTTAGAGACGGGCGGCTAAACTCGAATGATTCTAGTTCTAGGTATAGTGTTAGTTCTACATAGAAACAGTGCTAGAGTAAAACTAGAACTAACACTAGAACTAGAATCATTCTAACACTAGAACTAGAATCATTCTAGTTCTAGGTCTAGTGTTAGCTCTAGTTTTACACTAGCACTGTTAAGATATAGAACTAACACTATATCTAGAACTAGAATCATCTGGATTTAGTCGCACGTCTCTAAAGACGACTAAACCCGAATGATTCTAGTTCTAGGTACAGTGTTAGTTATAGTTTTACACTTGCACTGTTACTAGAACTAACATTAGATCTAGAACTAGAATCATTTGAGTTTAGCCGCACGTCTCTAAAGACGGCTAAACCCGAATGATTCTAGTTCAAGGTATAGTGTTAGTTCCACCTTTAGTTCAATAAAAATATACAACAATCTAACGCTAAATAATAATTGGATCCTGTTATACATCACTTGGCTAAGCGACATTTTAACGTTTTTAGAGATTTTCGTGCTGTCTGGTAGGTAAAGGTGTAACTTATCTTAGAAAAAATGCAGAATACCAAAAGACCTAAAATACCATTTGTTTTAAAGGATAAAGCTAAGCGCCCATCACGTTATTCGATTTTAAGCCCGATTTGCATCATACGTCTAAGAACCGACTTAGGTCCGATTTTTATTGCACTAAAACTAGAACTAACACTAGACCTAGAACTAGAAAGTTTTGGGTTTAGCCGTGCGTCTTCAGACATGATATATATTAGACGCGCAGCTAAACGAGAAACATTCTAGTTCTAGGTGTAGTGTTAGTTCTAGTTTTACACTAGCACTATCATTAGAACTAACACAAAACCTAGAACTAGAATCATTCGGGTTAAGTCATCTTGAGAGACGTGGGACGAAATCCGAATATTTCTAGTTCTCGGTCTAGTGTTAGTTCTAGTGGCAGTGGTAGGTAGCGCTAGTTAACATAAGATATTACTATGTTGTATATTTTTATTGAACTAAAACTAGAACGAGAACTAGAAACATTCGGGTTTACTCGAGAAAAAAAACTTTCAGTTACCAAGCTCAACTTTAATTTATATTATTATATTCGTAATCTTTATAAAATAAGCTTTAAAATGAGTCCAAACTTGACGCATTTATCTCAAAAAACCAAAAGGTTCGAACATTCAACTTTTAATTTTGACATTTGTCAACTTCATAAAAAATCCTTTAAAATGAGTCCAAACTCGACATATTTACCTTTAATATTAATGGAAATACAATCACTTCCGGTTTGAAACGTCAACGTCAATGTTGACATATATGTCATCTTCGTTAAAAAGCCTTTAAAATGAGTCCAAAGATGACGCATTTATCTCAAAAAACAAAAAAGTTAGAATAAAAAACATTAAACCCGAAGTTAGCAACAATGAAGATAGCAATTTAATTTTTAAATATTAATACCAACCTTAATTTTTGATTTTTTTTTTTTAATTTTCGTTTTTGTGACTAATATTAAGACATTCTATAAAAATTAAGAATATGTCAAAATGACATTGACATTTCAAACCGGAAGTTGCTTATATCTCGAGTAATATTGGAATTAAACGTATCATGTTTGGACTCATTTTAAAGGATTTTTCACGACGATTACAAATATGTCAAAATTGACGTTGACATTCTTAACCGGAAGTTGACCATAACTTCATTAATATTGAAGATAAATATGTCGTGTTTGTACTCATTTTAAAGGATTTTTAATGAAGATTACAAATATGTCAAAATTGAGGTTGACATTTTAAACCTGAAGTTAGTAATTATATAATAAAAGTTTTATAAGTGAAGTTAATCTAGTGTTAGTCACTTTTCCGCATTTTCTTTTTATTTTTAACGTGTTTTTTGGGTCATTTCACATTGATTAATCATCGATTCTGGAAATTTTCCCAAGTTTCTTAGTATTTCTTTTGTTAAAAAAGAGCGTTCTTAAATTTTAATCTGTAAACTTGTAACACTTTGTCCTTAATTTCATTTTACAACTTTTTAAACTTTAATTTTGTAAATTAGTAACTAATTTACAAAATTATTATTATTTCGACTTTGATATGTGATCTTTTTTAACAAAAGATAAAGAAATATTAAGAAACTTGTTTGTAAAATGGATAAGATGAGATGTTAATCTATTTGTAGAGTCTGTGAAGATGGCTAAGGGCCGAAACTGGTTAGATTTAAATTCTATATAAAATAAAAACTAGTTTAAAAGTACAAAATCAAACTCTAAATTATTTTCTTCAAAATTTTTTACACGAATCGTCATTTTATCTCTAGTTTTAGTGAAATCCTTCATTCTTATAGTAATTAAAAATTTTTAGGTGAATTTAACGTGATGTATCTTTTCGTACGATACAGATTCGGATGGGATGAGGTGGATTATGCTTTATACTCAACATTCAACATCATTTTCCACATGATTGGTAAACATTTTTAATCTAAAAAAATCTCATCTTTTAATTGAATTAATTTTTAGGAACTCTTTTTTCATTAACTTTTTTCTCAAAATTCTTAAAATTCGACGACGCACTTTTAGGGGTTATTTCAAGTATGAGTAAAGTAATTTCAGCCGTAGTTTATGCTTTCGCCCCCTCACCGTTTTATTTTTACCTCGGTGCTATTGCTGAAATGTTAAATGGAACGTCTTTTATTGCAATGCGATCGATTACATCGAAATTAGTTCCACCCGAGGAACTAGGTAAACTAATTTTTCATCAAAATTTTTTTTTAACCAGTATTAGATTGATATTATTGATTAACAGGGAAAATTAATTCGTTATTTGGAGTGTCGGAAGCTTTAATGCCATTGGTTTATGGACCGATGTATAGCTTGGTTTATCGAACCACAATTAAAATATTTCCCGGATCTTTCTTGCTCTTAGGAGGACTTTTAACATTACCTGCAGTTTTTATTTTCTTGTAACAAAAACATCACGTTTTTTTCGAATTCTTTTCAACATTCTAATTTTTTTTTAGGTGGTTATACAGAGAACATAAACGCGATGAATTAGAAGAAGAATTAAATAAAAAACTATCAGAAAAATTACTTACTAAGTAATCACCAACAATATGATTTTAATTATTTATATCATGTAAATATGAAAATTTAATTAAGATACCTTTAAGTTTAATAAAATTATCTTAATTTACTTTCCCTTTTATTATTGTTATTCCTTTATTATTAGTCATCATCGAATTGAAATTGAAACGCCTTCGTTTTTCGATCTGTTTGTCCATATCAAGAAACTTTCGTCTTTCGTTACTCATACCTTTGGTTCTACAGGTGAGAGAATTAGCTGTGCGCGTGGGCAGGATTGGATATGTTACATATTTTCCATTTAGTTGACGACGGCGTCGCGACGAAGAACGTTCATTGTTGGAAAAAAGACGACGCGCTACATCGAACACATGATAAATGTTATAAAAAATAATTTTAGTACACACTTTTTGGAGTCATATTTTATTTAGAGTATTTATTTACACTCTTATTATTTTAATTTTTAACAGTAAAATTATTTTGAAGTAAAAATCGATCAAAAAACACCTTTTTTAATTTTTTGCGTATGCGTTTAAAGTGGTTTACATAGTGTAATAATGTTGTAACGTGACCGGCGAGAATCGTGTTAATAGTTCACTTATCGTTCAAAATAGCGTGCAGACTGATAAAATTTAAGGTAAAGGTAAATTATTTACTAATAACATTTAAAAATAAAATTTTTAATAAACTTATTGTATTACAACATGATCAAGGAAGTATAAGCTATGAAAATGTTCCAGAAAAAAGTCTTAATGAAACTTGATTAAAAAATCGTTCAAACTTAAGTTATGGAAGATAAGAAACTATTTATATCTCAAATTAAAGCTAAAAGTATCTATTTTTAGATTACATGATCAAAGAAACATAACCCATTAAAGTATTCATGATTTTCTTTTTTAATAAACTAGTCTATTTTCAATTTAACTATTAAAAGAGGAAACTTTGAAAAACTGTTCAAACTTTATTTATGGAAGATAAGAAATGAATTATATCTCAAATTAAAACTAAAAGTGTGTATTTATTGATGACATAATCAAAGTAATTCAACCTGTTAAGATATTCCAGAAAAAAAATCTCAAAAACTTGCTAATTTTGATGCTAATAGTTAAACTTCATTTATTACAGATAAGAAACGAATTATATCCCAAATTAAAGCTAATAGTATGTAGGTGTTTATAGATAACGTGCAGAAAGAAACATAACCCATTAAAGTATTCCAGAATTTCCTTTTTAATAAACATGTAGTTGAGCTACGAAAACCACGTAAGCGATACCAGATTTAGGTGTTAGTTCGATCAAAAATCTGTCCTAGTATGCACTGCGAAAAGCTCGTAAAGCACTAACCAATAGAATGCATGTATTTAGTCATGTGAGGTAATCATTTAAGCGTCACTTGCATCTTTCTGAGCATTTGAAACTCGTAAGCGATATCAATGCTATATCGACCATTGTACGCATCATTGTGTTCATACAAGCAGTTCTACACGAGGAAGATTAATCTGTACCTTCACCTCCAGCTGTAAAAAGTGTGGAACACGAAAATTGTGCAGAAGATGCTGACTATGTCGCTTCAAATTCAAGCTTTAGGCCTTCTCATGATGGGTTTGGTAGTGATGCCATCGGAGATGATAATAATACCGACGTGGCTAACCAATCGAATCCCTGTGGAGCGGAGGAACGCGACCAACAAAGAAAAAAAATACAAAGGCAAAACCTGAAAGGTGGCAATGTTATAAAAATAAATTTAGACGTATGAAGGGCGATGCGTATACTGGTGTTCAAAAGGACCAGGTAGAAAAGAAAAGCTACAGTGTGGACAAAACAGCAGGAAAAAACAATCCGCCTTGTTCAAGCAATGAGTGCAGAAGGGTAAAAACAAGAGTATGTCCAGACATCTTAGAAGTTGACAGAGAAAGTCTGTTTATAAGGTTTTGGCAACACATGGATTGGAAGCAAAGGAAAGTGTATACAGGGTGAGTCAGAAAGAATGGGAAATCCGAATACCGGAGACACTAGACACCAAAATATGACTAGACACGAAATACAAATTTGAAAGTGGTTTTGTTATTGCTCATAGAGGGCGCTAGATACACTCTGCTCGTTTGATAAATCAAATCATAAATTTTTTGGCTGTCGAGCTACGACCAATAAAAGCTACAAATCACAAAGAGCATTCAATTTTACATAAAAAAGGTACTCTTATTTAAATTGTCTAATTGTCTTTTCTTTCTGACTCACCCTGTATAAGCAGTCTAGTTCACTTAAAAGTGAGAAGGAAAGCTACAGACGACCCACCACGAAAAAAAGGTATATCACACTACACTAAAAAAATCAATAATGAACCGCACCCAGTCTGCAAAACTTTGGTTCTATCAACATTTGGATTAAAAGAATGGACAGTAAAAAATAGTATCATGAAGTGCAAGGATGGCATGCACCAAAATGCAATAATTATGCATAATAATAATAGTGATGATCCCAGAAATGTGAAAACACTTAAAAACGTGAAAAGTGTTTGCTGCTACTTTTTTAAATTGACTGCCAAAAATGGCATCACACTATTGCCAATTTTCCACATCTAAGAAATACTAGAGCCAATAATTGATTTCAAATTTGAACTGCATCGAATTTATCTTCAGACGTGTCAAAATGAGTAGAGAGAAACATTGGCTAGAAAGCAGTTTTTTGAGATACTTAATAACAAGAATCTGGGACTTTTCAACCAAAAAAGGACAAGTCCGACACTTGCATTGGATATAAACACGAGTAGAAATCTGAACAACACTATGCACAGCATGTGAAGCGTAAGGACGAAAAAGGGAGCAGAAGAAACAGGAAAAATAGAAAGCAATTAGAGGAGTTAACATACACAATGGATTTGCAGGCCGTAAAGCTATCCCCAATGCTGAAAGCTAATAGTGCTCTTTATTATGAAATGAAATTATGTGTGCATAATAATACCATTGAGATTAAAATGATTTTTGTTTCTGAAAGTTGCTAATTTTTTATTGCTTCACAATCAATATCAAAACCTCGTATTCGTCAACACTCCACACATTCTCTATAAGAGTAAACCACGTAAGCGACAATTTATTTTTTTTATTAAAAGTATTGAAATTACTTTAATAACTTACTTTATTACACGACAAAAAATCATTATTCATTCATACAGTATCACAAAAAAAACTATAATGTTCTTGAATTATTTAGCTAATTAACGTTATAAAACAGTTTTATGTGTCTCCTGTAAAATTATCCTTTTGTCGCTTACGTGATATTCGTAGTTCAACAACGCGACGGTGTCTATTTTCAAGCTAACGATAAGTATTAAAAAGGAAACATTATTCAGTGGAGATAAGAAATGAATTACATATATCTCAAATTAAAGTAAAAAGTATCTATTTATAAATAACAAACTTCTGACAAAATCTATCACAGGAATTTCTCCAACGATTCATCAATTAGACAAAAAATAAGTTCCAAACATAATGTAATAAACACTCCTGTCATTTATTAACATGGTGATTATATCTTTGATATCGCTAAATATCTCTGAATATCCTGATATATCTCAACATAATTCTTAACATATCTCAGCAATGTCGAAGCTCCCCTCAACATCTTTCCCACCATCTGTAAGCAGCACCTTTGATGTCGTTAAATATCTTCCCTTATTTCTCATTAGCAATCTGATATCACTCAACATCAATCTGGTATCTATTAACATCGCCCTTGATGTCATCGAATTTTGTTTATGTCAATAATTCCAGTTGTATTATCAATAAAATTTCTCACCACTACCCGCTTCCCTTGACATATTTCCCATCATCTTTTGGCATAGTCATTGACAAAATTTGATATTTTTCCGGCTTACGTCAACAGCTTTGTTCGTTGGGACTGCACTCACTTGCACTAAGCAGTTTAGTGCAGATGTTGTGTGTTCGTTGGGGATAGTGCAGTTTAGTGCAGTTGCACTCATACTGTTCGTTGGGCCATGTGCAGTGCAATTTAGTGCAGCCAGTGCAAGTTAGTGCAGATTTTGTTGCACCTGCTTTCGATTAAGTTCAATAAGTGCAGTTTAATGCAGTGTAACTAAAATGGCGGAATATTTGAAAGCGTCTTTTGTAATAATTAATATTAATATTAAATATTAAGAAATAAAACCTTATAATAATTAATATTTGTTGTATTAGAAAACACACTATATTCAATCCCAGTAGAGGCAGTAGAAAACTACCCCTACTTTTTTGGAATAATTTAAAAACTACCCTGTCGATTTTGGCGGCATTAAATACACTTATAGTAGATTTAAAAATATTATGTGTTTTTTCTCATTTAGGGGTGGCTGGGGTTAACTACCCTCACCACCCCAAATTTCTTTTTTGCAAGTACTGCTTATCAATTTTGATGCAATTGAGCATGTGATTTCTTTATACGTTAAGTAGTACTTTTGAAAGAACTAATAAGGGTTAGTAGTTTGGGGTAGAAAATATATTTCGCTAATAATTGAAAAAAATAAAAAATAATAATAATAATTGATGAATACTAAAAAAACGCTACTAAAAAAACATTCTGCAATGATTTCATTTTCCACGAGTATTTCGCTGACAATCTCCTGTTCGTCCATTTCAAATATTATACACTTTTTTTTATAAAAATCTGTTCGTTGCGACCACTGACTTACACTTCATTGCACTAGGACGTCATACGAGTGCCATGTCGTGCAGAGTAGTGCAGTCCCAACGAACAAAGCTCTGCACTAAGTTGACATGACATTGCACTTACTTACACTTCATTGCACTATGACGTCATACGAGTGCCATGTCGTGCAGAGTAGTGCAGTCCCAACGAACAAACCTAAAACATCGTTTAATGTTATTAAAATCGTTAATGGTAAATGTCAACATAATCCGTAGCATTTCTCAACACTGTTCACTTTTTTTTCTCAATCTTCTACCAAATAATCTAATATTTGATATATGACAATATATACAATCTATATTGTCACTGGTCTTCTTTAATATTGACTGTGAAATCCAAATCCTTCCAGATATGATCTTTGACGATGTATCTCAACATCGTCTCTGATATTTTTTAACATCTTCTGTGGTAGAATCTTTGCCATATTTCTATACATAGCCACAGAAAAAGCAACACATTCTGGTATATTTCAATACTATTCTAGTCCCTCTCAACATCTTCCTCATAATTTACCAATATCTTCTTTGATATCTCTAAATATTATCCCTCGATCTCATTTTTGATATGTTCCACCATTACTTCTAACATCTTTCACCATCTCCTCTATCTCCTCCTTTCACCTCTAACATCTATCTTGCAACATAATCTCTGATATTCATATAACTCAATACTTCGACCTTCGATCTTTCCCATCATCACACCATCAACAATGTCGTCCAAAAAGTTGTAAGTATCAAAATCGTTTCGGTCATATCTTACATATCGTACATAATTTCTAAGATTTTTCAGTAGTCCTACTGTTCTAACCTGTCTTAATTCTATAATCTTATGTCACTGGCTTTCTTCAACATTTCAATACAATCCCTAACTTCTCACACTGTTCTTAGCTATTTCTAAACATCGTCTCTAGTGTCTACCAATATCTTCCCTGATATCTTCAAATACCGTTCCTGATATCCTCCATTAGTGTCTATGATGATCCTTAACGTAATCTATTCTTAATAGCTTCTTTGACACTTCTCAAAACGATTTCTGATATCTCTCAAAATAATTCCTGGTATTTCTTAACATCATTCCAAATGTCACATTCGTTGAACTTCCACAATGTAATTAGTAGCATCACTCTGCACTGTCTTTGATAACTGCCAACATATTCCCTTGAATATCTCAACATTATCTGCCAACATATTCCCTTGAATCTCTAAACATTATCTGCCAACATATTCCCTTGAATCTCTCAACATTATCTTAGTCTTCTTCAATATCTTCTAATAACATCGCTACACATTGTTACTGACACCTAATTCTCAACGACAATCTCTATAACATTCCAAATATATCTTCATACAGTCTCTAAAATCCTGAAATATCTTCCTTATCCATTCTGAATATTATCTAAAAATAAAATCAATTCAAGTCAATAAAATCGTTCCTCATATATCATAACATAATCCCTAAGATCTCACAACTATATGTGGCTTCATGTAATAATATTTCCTATTATCTATCAACGTTGTCATTATCAACATCATTTTATAGATCTTGTTTTTATTGATACAACACAAAATATTGTTATTTAGAACGATTATTTTTGAAATATCGAGATGACTTTAAAGATACACTACCTATCAATTTTCACTAAACATAAAAATACTTCTAATAAGAAAAATTAAAACAGAAACATGTTATTCATTGAAAATAGAAGAAATTCTTAACCTTGTATATAATCTATCGCACCCCTTTACATATCTGATAGTTTCTTTCATCATGAATCAACATTGGTACTGCTATTGCAAATCTTCTGATTGATATCGCTGATCTTCTGATATCTTTCATCATCGACACTAATTTTTCAAATTGGCTTCGCAAACACTCTGCTTCCCAACTAAACATAACGATGACTCAGAATAACTTTTGGATAATAACATCAAAACTGAACCTGATATACCTCATCTTAACATTTCTCAACAATATGAATACTCAACAATACATATCTCAATAATATCTTGGCTTCTTTTGATAACCTTTTGATAACATGAAGACATCATGTATTACCGTCGTTCGCGATATTACAGATATCTTTTATTACCAAGATAACTCTACAAACGTCAATTCTGTTATCTCTCAACATAGTCCTTGATATTTCTCAACATTTCTCCAAATAATCCATCGACATTGTTCTTGCTATTTCTTAACATTATTTCTCACTTCGCGCAACATCATCCTAGAAACCGTCCTAAATTTCGTTCTTGGTTAAGTGTTTTTTTTTTAATCCTGCTGGGAATTGATATTGATTTAGTATTGTCACGAATACGCAATCAGTTTTTTTGAGTTAGGTCAAGTTCCTGGTGACGCTTGAATAGCGTGACGAAACAAATTTATTCTTAAGTTTAGAGCACTTATGAAATTTAAAAAAAAATGTATTAATTGTTATTTTAATAAATAAATAGGGGTTTGTTCTAAAAATATGGTTACGAAAACCAGTAGATATACTTTAACGTTTACTCGATAAATCTTGCCACGATTTAACCTTTAGTAGCTGTAAACTTAACCAAAATTTAAATATTCTTATCTAAGTTGGTTTTCAAAGTAACCTTTCGTGCTTGAGCTCATTTAAAAAAAATTAATCTACATCATTTTTTTTTAACTTTAATCACTTCAACCTACACTTTAAAATTTTTTTTAAATCTTTAACCTTTCAGATGTACTTAGTTAACTGAAACCCTAATAAGAAACTAACACAATCAACGTAAACAGAAAATAAACCATGACAAAATCTTTCTGTTACCGCCTGGTACCACCATCGATTTTAAAATTAAACCATTAACCGATCTAAAAAGACACCTAACATGAGATGGAAAACAGCAAAAAGTCCGAAAAAATCAAAAACTCGTCCGTTTTTAGTGTTACCGCTAATAGAAGTGGACAACTCGTCAACACAAGATCAAACGATGAGAAAAAAGCCCGACCATCTCCGCCTTTTTACTAGAACATTCACGCCAAAAGAAAAAACGATTAACGATGAAAATGCACGACCTTTAACGGCTACGTTAGAAAAACCCCAAGTACTCGATATTCGATATATCGACAAAATCGACATGTCCTTGGTTAGAAAAGAGTTCCTGTGTATTACCAATTTGTGTCGAGCGTTGCCGGTGGCGGTATCGAAGGCGCGGAGGAAGCCACCTCCAAACAGCCAGAGACGTCACGGAATCACCAGACCATTGATTTTACCAAGCAAAGGTATTCAAAAAATTAGTAGACCCGGTACTAGTGATGATAGTTGGGAAGACGAGAGTAGTTGCTCACAAACACCGACAGCAAGAGCTAAAAAATACGGTAAAAAATTCAATTTTTTTATAAAATTTTGATTAATAATTGTAATTTCTTTATTTAGATCTTAATAGAAGACACAAAATGATCAAGCAACCAGCACCCGTTACATCATCAGCACCAATAAGAAAACCGTCAAAAAAGATCAGTCATAATGACACTAATAACAATTTTAATACGTATCGTGTGACGAAGAAGCGAATGGTTGTTCCTTTACCTTGTAACACCTGCGGACGTCCCGATCAACCAGAACGCTTCCACAGTCACCCAGAAACTCCCGGAAACCATTCGCCGAAGAAGAAAATGGATGTAAAAGCACCGATAAAAAACGTCGTTCAAAAACCGGTCGCGATTAAATATAAATCAAAATTAATTGAAAAGAATAATAAGAATAAAGTATTGGTTACTCCCGGGAAAACGAATTCGGGAAATGTACGTTTGGGAAAAATAAATTCGGCAAATATACATTTGGGAAATGTAAATTCGGGAAATGTAAATTTGAGAAATATAAATTCGGGAAATATAAATTCAGGAAAAATAATTTCGGGAAAGCCAACTTCTGCATCAACACCTATAATCGATGAAAATAAAGATAAAAAGGAAACTGGAAAAGGCCCTAAAACGCTTATGTGTTACATTTGTGGAAGAGAATTTGGAACGATGTCCTTGCCGATACACGAACCGAAGTGTTTAGAGGTGAGATCAGCGAAATTGTCAAGTTTATTTTTGTAGTATTGTTGGTGATGATGTAAAATGTGATGATGTGTGTTTGTGAATTGGTTGGATGGTTAATATGATTTAATGATGATTGGTTTGTTTAAAGATAAAGCGATTAGAAGTAATTTAGTTTTGTAGCTCAATAGAATTATTGCGTGGTGAAATTACACCAAAACTAATTAATAATTTATAGCTAATTGGAGATGGAATTGATTGCAAATTAAATGTAATTAAATTTCTTGTGAAACTTTCTTCATAATCAAAGCTTTAAACTTTTAACTTTCAAAATCATATTTGAGAAATTATTAAAATATCAAGAAAATTGTTCCGGTTTCGATAAGAAATGTTGAGGTTCGATCTATTTCAAAGAAAGTCAGTGGTTTTTTAACAAAATCGGTTAGAAAATGTTAACTGATTTTGTCTGATGCTATAAAACATCTTAAAGCTAACCATTTTAAATCTTCAACATTTCTTCTTAATAGCCGCCTCAATCAGCAGACGTTTGTGTTTTACCATCAAGTATACTTTATGGCGAAAGCAATGTATTATGATAACATTTTCATATTGCCTTTTTACAAAAGATGTAATGCAGGTTTATTAGTGGACGTCGTGCAACCACCTCAGATTCTATTATTAACAAATAGTACATTTTAAAAAATCAGAAAAAAACGATAGTTATTTATTTTTATGAAAATCAATGCTACAATATTTCCGCCAAGCTGGTGGTCTTCATCAGTGACGTCGTGCCTGAGGAAGGCCATCAAATTGGCTGAAACTTTAATCGTTTCTTCAATTTTTCAACTGCTTAATTCCCGGTAAATATTGAGTTTCAAGTATCCAAATTAATTGTACATTATCCGACACTTGCAGCAGGACGTCAGCACCGCTTGGTATATTACCACAGTTGACAACCTTAACTAGCAATCAAAAAAACAATTTTGTTGCTTTGTGTTATGCTTACAGGACAACAACAAGTTCTGTGTTCAAACTCCTTAATAAGATCCAATTTTAAAGGCAAGGGCAAGTACTCACATATATTGTGGTATTAATGAGATAGAAAAAATATATTGAATAAATTTTAAGGAAGTTTTGTCTGCATATTTTTTTAATACTAAAAATTCTGCAAGTTAAAACATGAATTATCAAATCCACAACGCATAAGAATTTGGGCAAGTGTTATTTCCTTTATTACAATCTGTAGCTCTTGGTCGATTTTAGGTTAGTCTTAAATCCAATCTGAAGTTCATTTCGGTCAAGAGTCTTTAATTGGTTTCTAATCGAAATGAGCCCATTTTCATGTTTACAATATTATATCGAGATAGGTACTGCTCGTTGTGCTTAGTTGAATATGCAAGAAGTAGGAAATTATCTGTGCAGCTACTAGTGTATCATCACTAATGTGATGAGCACGTTGCTTAATTCCACAATGGAGAGAACATGTCAACATCTTCATCATTGTTTTCTATGAAACATGTCATAAAATGCTTTATTTATATCAATCTACACTACGACCAAATTTAGCATTATTTTTCTGGTGCCACAACAATTGTGCCACATATTTATAACATGGCTGTCTGTTTGATAACATAATGAGACTACATAGAAAATCTTGATGCTATTACAGCTAACAGCAAAAACGCTTTGGTACAGACATGCTCTTACATGTTCGTACTATTCACAGGGAAACAGAAAAGAATACGATAATTTGGCTCTGACATCCAGTGTTCGGTAGAGCAAAATTTTCTTTAAATCTTATAGTAAATGGACAC